GGTCCGGCCCCCGCTGCGCCTGGGCTGGGACTGGTCCCGCCGGCGCAGGGTAGCAGGAAACTCTCCGCACACTCACCGGACCTGGGCTAGGACTCATGAATTATATTTCTTACACAACTATCCTGTTTTCCTCTTGGTAGCTCTGTTTTGGGTTTTTCTTGTAAGGTTGGCAAGTGTGGCCTGTCCACATTCCTTGGGGTTATGAATTCCAGCCAACAACCTGAAGAGCACCTTGGGAAGACAGGCCATGCCCTGTGAGGTGGTTGGGATCTGACAGGGACCTCCACTGTCAAGGAGAATTTCAGCAGGAGGAGTCGCTGCTGCCTACATGGACACTGGTACCACCGACATGGTGGGTGTGGAGCACTGAGGACCCAGGCCAAGGTGCTTGACACTTGCCTATTAGCAGTAGGATCTGCATTCTGATTTGGGACAGGCAGGAACTTAAGTGCTATTTTTGCCATGAACCATGGCTCTTCACTCAGGCTGCAGATGCCCAATAGGTGACTAACAGGGGAACACAGCTGGACCATCCTTTGGCCCTTGTCACTGTAAATCTGGGGTCAGAACTCAGTTTGGTGCGGGACCTGGTGGTCATTTAGCATCTGCCTGGACAGGCTTTGGCAGCCTTGGATTCTCATGATTTCCTCTCCTTCAAGACTGAGGACCTAAAGTGAAAGGTTGACAGGGACGTTCAGCTCCTCCCAGAAGCCTCCAGCCATTGTCCTGGACCTGCAATCACCTGGATTCCAGGGGAGGGGGAGCCTCAGGCACTGGGACTCCATGGACTCATAATCCTCTTCTGGATAGAGATCCCTCAGCTATCCAGATCCCAAATCTATGACGAGGATGAAGAGATACTGAGCACCCAGAGCACAGCCCACCAGCCAGTACTTGAGAGTGGCCTCCTGTCTGTGTGGAGGCCCAGCTTGAGCCCCTGTATCAGGGTGACCCTCCAGCCACCTAAGCTGGATCCTTTCCTGTCTTTCCTCTGACCTTTCAGTTCAAGTGTTCTTCTTCTAATGAATCATACTGTAACAATTAGCTTCATGGTACATGAATAAGCTGCCCAGATATGGGTCCCAGAAAATCTTATCATGCATTTGGAGATTTCCCACAATGCCACTAATCTCTGAGACCTGGAGCACTCTGCTCCCAAGCACTCTGCCTAAGGAACCCAGTCAGATAAAATCCTACCATGAGTCACAGTAGCCTCAAGGTCTGACCTACGTCAGGGGCCATGCTCAGATGGTCACTAAGGCTAAGGTAGAGAGCAACACTCTGGCTGGCTGACTGGGTCACATTCTCTAAGTCTGGTCCCCAGAGCCTTGCATACTGCTGGAGGGTATGGACAGGAAGGTGGACCCAGGAGGAGTTGGTGCAGATTTTTACTGAGCAAGGCAGGGGTGGCTGTGTGTCTCCCCAACTGGTGTGGTTGAGAAGAACAGGAGAAAGGAAAAAGGGACAGCTCATGGATGTCCAGGCTGACTAGAGGAGCTTGTTGTCCTGGGAATGTGGTGCTGGGTGACCAAGTAGACTGCATTGGGGCTGGGATTCAGGGTTGGGCGGGGGACACTGCAAGGGAATCAGATAAGGTGTTATTCTTATGGCCTGGTCAAAAGAGAACCTCAAGCCTTGTGACATCTGGACTTTGAATATTTATTTTTTAATTTTATGTATTTGGTACAGGGTCTTGCTACACAACTAGGATTTTACCCTCCTCCTAGATCCTCCTGTTCTAGCCTCCCCCGTGCTGGGATTACAGGTGTGTGCCACCACACCGGTTGGCATGGCATGTGGTGCCGAGGATTGAACTTGGGTCTTTACTTTTTCTTAAGCAGGTGCTTAGACTGCTGGGCTCTCTTCGCAGCCTGACAGCTGGACTTCATTATGGCCTTGAAGTCCCCATGTTGTGTGGAGTAGATGACAAAGGAGCAGATCTTCTTCTGCCAAAGGAAGGGAGAGATGTGGTGAGTGAGGATTCAGGAGAGAGGAAGGATCCTGGCCTATCAGGAGAGGAGGAGTGGGGTGGAGGGGAAGTCCCCACATGATGCTGTCCACAGGTCAGAGATTCCAGGTCCTTGTCACCTATGGCCTCCAGGAAGCAGCCCTCCAGGGCCAGGAGCCCAGGGATGCAGGCAGGGCAGGAGCTCACTGCTCCAGGGCCTCCATCTCAGCCCAGGGCAGCACTGAGAGGCACTCAGACAAAATCCAGGCCTGGGGACCCAGAGACAGGTGAGGTGGGCAGGGAGACAGGGACTCAGGACACAGATCACAGCCTCCAGGGACCTAGCTGTCATGACAGGCTGAGGCCGAGGGTAGTGTAGGGGCTTGGCCCTCTCAGGTTGGGACTCTCAGAACCCTCCCCCTTCCCTCATGCCCTGCATGCCCTGTGGCTACCCCTCCTCCACCAGCAGGATTACTCCAAAGGCAGGGGCCTCCTCCCAGCACCTTACTGCCCACGGCCGCACTCAGCACCCAAATCCACTGTTTGCACAGTCCTCTGCTATATCACCTGTGTACAGGGTTGTGGTTACACACACGCACAGGCACCACACACACACACACACACACACACACACACACACACACACACACACCATCTCATACCCAAACATTCACACTCTTCCTCACTGCTCATGCTGTCCATTCCCACTTCGGGCTCCTACCGGCTGTTTACTAAAGGGACAGTGGCCACTGTTGGACCGGTTCTTTCCACACATGGTTTTGCCAATCTTCAAGTCCAAGTAGTAGTTCATGCCTTCTGCCACCTAGGAAGGAAGAGCAGGACCCTCTCAGCGCTCAGGGCACCTCACTGCTGCAGTTCCTGGCTGTGCTGGACTCCCTGGTTGCCAGGGCTCAGGCCAAACCCAGAGCAGCCCACTCTGCATCAGATCTTCCTGTGCATCCTTTCAAGGAGCTGCAAGAGGAATCTCAAGCACCAGAGCAACACAGAAGCAGGGACTGGACAGATAGGAGCCAGACCCTCTGATCTAGACCCTGGGGAGGGGAGGAGGCTGAATTTGGCAGCCAGGGTGCTGAGCCAGCACTTCCTGTCCAGGATGCAGGATGGGTGAATCCCAGTAGGTTCTGTGCCCAACAGGACCCACTGGATACGGTTCCAGGAGAGCTTGGACCTGAGCACTGAGCATAGCTGAGTCCTCAGGGACCTGTTCCCCCATCCATATGGTCCTCATACTCACAAACAGGGGCTCCCTCATGCTCCTAGGGACCGCTGAGGCTCACAGAGGTGATCCCCTAAATGCTTTTAGGGTCTTTACACATTCACTGTGTGATATCATAGAAAATACACACAAGGAGAGGCAACATCAATGTCACAGCAGGTGTTATCGTAGGGACACTATCACACCACATCCATCCTTGCCAGGAGCCACGTAGGCCTCAGGATTGTGCACCCAGCTGGGCATACCCTGCCAGGCCAGCTCAGGAGCACAGAGCAGCTGCTCCAGGGGAGAGGAGGCTGAGTCAGGACAGGCTGCAGGGCTCAGGAATGTCCTCAGTGGACATCGGCCACACTGCGGCAGTCTCTGTTGCAGCTGAGTATGGCTTGCTGCAGTCAGCCTGCTCCTGAGCATGGAGAACAGGTCCTCATGGGTGGGCGGTGTCCACTTTAGGGTGCACCCAGGCATCAGGAGGATCCACACAGTGCACACACAGCTCCATGTGTTATGGGGAGCCAGGAGAGGGCCACATGGCCAAGGGTGACCATGGGAGGAACTGGCACAGGGCCCAGGGTCACTCTGCTCCTGCTGCACCTGCTCTGCAGATCTGGGGTCAGGCCAGAACTGGGAGCTGAAGCACAGGGGGTGGAGGTCAAGAGAAGAGGGAACAGGTGTGGGTTCCTGTCCCTGCTGCATGGTGACTTGGCTCACCATTCACACGGATCCTGGTCCAGAAACAGTTGGTCAGCACCAACCCAGGGGACTCTGACCCTGGCCTGAAACCCATTGTCTCTGACAGCTGGGATTGGAACCAGTTCTAAGGGCCAGGCCTGATACCCAGAGGCTGCCAGGGTCTAGGCCAGGCTTGATGTGTAGAATTCCAGGCCATGTCTACCAAGGGCTACAGGGACAGAGAAATACCGCAGACCAGATGGGTGAAAAATACAGGGACATCCACTGTGGAGAGGATCCCTGGACAATGCCATGGGCCGCAGAGCTCTTAGCCCTCCTGGGTGGGGACAGGGTGGGGTGGGGGGCAGGGAACAGAGAGAAGGGAGTGGCAGGATGTGCAGGTGGACAGCACCTCATGGGCAGCCCTCCTTGGCCCCAGTGACCACACACCTGCTGACGGGTACTCAGTACTTTCGCCACGCGGCTGAATTCCAAGTCGCCGTTTTCCTTGTTGTACTCGTGGAGGGCGAAGTTCACTAAATTCTGCTTATCCTTGTCGCTGATGTCTGCATCTTCCTGTTCCTCCGTTGAGAAAAGGCTGTTCTTGGAGTGCTTCAAGGCCATGGGAGTCGAGGCCAAGCTGAAGACCAGGGCAGCCAGGAGCAGCAGAGGGACACGCAGGCACTGGGCCATGTCTGCGGCACCTGAAGCCAAAGCTGTAGGGCGAAGAGGGTAGCAATCCAGACACCACGGTGCTGGCTTAGGGTGGCCCAGCTTTATGCTTTGAGCCTCCAGCCCCTCCCTGCCTTCATCCCTGCCTCTCAGCCCAGCCCCTCCTCTCCTGCTGGCCCCTCCCTTCTGCTGGCCCCTCCAATGCTGGGACCTCCTTCTCTCTCCCTTCTCCTCTTCCTCCTCCTCTTCCTCCTTCTCCTCCTTCTCTTCCTCCACCTCCTTCTCCTCCTCTTCTTCTTCCTCTTTCTCTCCTTCCTCCTCCTCATCCCATTCCTCCCTTTAATCCTGCTCCCCTGATCCTCTTGACCTGCCCCTCCTTGAGCTCCCGTAGGCTTGGTCTCCCTGTTCTCCAGAACTCTCTGGTCCCTAGGTCCTGAGACTCAGAACTCTTATTTCTGTAGGAAAAAGGACAGTACAACCTTGGTTTCTCAGGGTGCTCTGGAGTCAAGGGTTTGCAGGGTCAAGGTAATTGATTCCTGGGAGGAAAAAGGTGATTCCAGAGGTTCCAGGAAGCTTAGGCCCTGCCCTGTCCTGGGGGCTCCTCCATTAAGCAGGAGTGAGCTCTTCTGTCTTGGGAAAGGACCTTAGCTCTCCTTAAGGACTCTGGATCAGGCAGTCAGTTAACAAATGTCCCAAGAACTTCTCCCAGCCAGGTGGTCTAGACTACAGATGGGCACAGGTGGATGATTCTGGGGGGGACACCTGGTGAGGCCCCCACAGAGTCACACTAACCCTGTGTGGTTTTTCACTTTCTAGCAGGCACATTAAAAAAAGTAAAAAAAAAAATTATTACAAGTGAGATCATTTTTATAAAAGTAATTGTTTAACCTATAAAGCAAATGTGATTTACATGATACAAGAAGATTCTTAATGAGATATGTTATACTGAGTGTGTGTGTGTGTGTGTGTGTGTTCTTCAGAATGTGGGTATTTGTGACCTGCAGGGCAGGTGTCCATGGCAACAATCCCCATTTCTAACCCCTCATGGCCCTGTGTGGTGGGAGCTGAGCCGCAGCTTCAGGGAGGGAATTTGGGGATGGGTAATAGCACTTAAGATCAGGGAATCATGGCAGCTCTGGTGGAAGGAGGTGGAAGGACTAGGGATAGAGGTGAGGACCCTGGACGCTGGCCAGAGGACTCTTGGATCCAAGAAGACTCGAGTACTGGCTAGTCCAGCAGAGGGAACAGCCGGGGACAGGTCTGAGGCAGGTTTTCTCTCCTTAAGGATTCTTGATCAGTCAATCAGCTAACAGATATCTCTGGCCTACGAGCAAGGAGCCACGGGTCTCTGGCAGGGCAGGAATGATGGGCTGCCTCAGCCTGGATGCTGGGGGCAGGACCCTGGCGTGGGGGTGCGTGGGGGCAGGTGGGTGGGTCCCTGAGGGGTGTGCATCAGAGCCGATGGGCTGTTCCTGCTTCTCTCTTGGGGAGCCACACTGTGGCTCTTGTCCTCTGTCCCTGATGGACACCTTGAATGAATGCTTGCACACAGTGACATGCTCCATGTCTGTGTCTAGACTGAGAGGCTTAGTAATCCACACCTAGAGTGACACCTCCACCAAGATCCAGAGTGGTCACCATTTGGCCCTGGGGTCCCAAGCTCATGACTGCCAGCCCTGTTCCCTGTTGGTCCCAGGGTCTGGTCCTGTTCCTGAGCTTCTCAGGGATGGATTCCCCAGGTAAGCACCTGCGTTGTGTCCTTGCCTCAGCTTCCTTTCTGAGCTCCCATCGTGCTGTTTCCTCAGCCTGGTGTTTCATCTCTATCTCCCTGCAGAGAGGCAGCTGGGAACCACGGAGTCACCAAAGCCCAGACTCAGGCAGAGCAGGCCTGGCTGGCATGTGGCCCTGGAAGAGGAGCTGCCCATTTGGGTTACTTCTGTGCTGCCTGAGTGGGAGGTTGGAGGGCTTTGGACAGTGGACTTCAAGGACAGGAAGTGTCCCAGCTGGGGAATGAAGACCCAGAGGGAGCACATCAGCCTTGCGTGTCCACCAGGTGAAGACCAGTCAGGGTCAGTTTGCTAGAGTGTTTGGGTGGAGAAGAGGCTGGGGCTGCAGTCTCCTCCAGAAGCCTCTATTGCCCGAGGGTCCCTCTGGGGGCTGGGTCCTGGCCACACAGCGGGAGAGCGGTCAGCACACACCAGGAGCGGCTGTGTCCAGGGTGGGGCAGAAGCAAATGACGAAGGGTAGACACGGTCAAGGAAGAAACACAAAGTTGTAGCACAGACACTTCTTCCTCTGTGCAAGAACGTGTCACAAGAACACAAAGGTCCAGTGCCTGCCCCTCCATCTCACTGCTTGTGGGAAGTGTGAGATAAATGAGAGAGATAAGAAGATTTTTATTCCCCTCTGTTGTCTCCCTGATGGGTTGCTTTATTTGTGTGGACATGAGCATCGGACCCACCTTGTTTTCCTTCATCCCTTGTGCTTCACAGGTGCTGAGGAGCACTGTGTCCAGTGACAGAACCACCACTGTGTCACAGAGACTAAGTCACCTCCTTCAAGGTGGTCTCCAGTCACAGATCCAGTCCTGCTTCCCCTGCGGTGAGAGGGAGGGACAGAGTTCCAGGACAGTGAAGGACAGGCGCCTGTCCTGAGAGCCCTGCACCCAGCCAGGCCTGAGAGGTGACATAGGAGTGCAGAGCCTGCGTTACACATTACAAACTGCCAATTCATGGAAAAAATCACTGAGGAAGTGGTGGGTTTTTTGTTGTCTCAGGGGCTGTGCTCCGTAGCTGTGTGGTGTCAGTGATATGGGTGGAATAGGCCATGTGTGGGCAACCCAGCTGAGGAGCCCTAAGGCCAGAGTCGAGCTCCTGGAGGCAGAGGACACTGGACGCTGTCTTCTGAGGGCAGCCACAAGGTCCCAGTTGCACAGCCTCATATCTAGCCATGCAGCACTGCCCTGGCCATCTCCTCTGCTGCTCCTGGGTCACACCCGTCTCCCAGTTCTGGGGGTCCACCTGTCCCCTCCAGTCTCATGGACACACATGTCTCATGATGGGCTGGTACGTAAATACACGCTCACATAGTGCACATACTTGCTGAGCATGCTAAGAAGTCCTGCCCCACTGTCTAGCACCCCAGAGCACAGGGCCTCAGTGGTGCAGCCTGTGGACACTGCCACCAGAAACTGTCGCGTTCCTTCTCTGTCCTTGGGGAGTGCTTCACAGAAGCTCTTCCAAGACCCCAGTTCTCCCATAAGGCTGCCTTTTCACTTTCACCACCAGAGCTTTCACTTCGCTCCTATGAGTGTCTGGAAGTGGGCCTTCAAGGTTAGAACCTGAAATCCACCCGTGAGACTTACTGGAAATGGCATTTGGCAGCCTGGTGCTTGCTTATGTCAGGTGAGCATGGCCAGACAGAGACTGATGTCCCCAGACTGCTCCAGGTCCTTCCTGCATGCTTCCCCTGGGTCCTCTGTCTCCCTGGGAGAGGTGGCTGCATGTTGTGGATTCTGGAGACTGAGCTGGGGGAAAACTGCCCACTCCACGCTGGCCCCTGCAGGAAGAGGTAGCGAGCCACGTTCGCACCTCTCCTAGTGGCCCTGGGCAGACCTCATCTGGACAACAATTGCTTCCTGGGCAACAGAGGCTGCAGCATGGATGAAACCTGGGAAGCAGCTCATCCTTCCATACCGCAGCTGCCCTGTGAGATGGCAGGAGACACAGACTTCGGGGCTCCTTGGCTCAGTCCCCAGACTTGGTCTCCCTTCTGGCAGCAGGGACCTTGATCCTCCTCGGTTCCTCCTGTATGCAGGGTAGCCTGTCACCTTTTGTTGCTTCCCCCTGAGGGGCTGGTAGGGCCCAGGGAGCCCAGCTCTGCTTTTTTCTTTTGGTTCTGTTGTCTGGCCCTGAGGCCGGGCTTAGCTCCTTCCTGAGCTTTTTCTCAGGATGGAGAGGCAGGGAAAACCATGTGGGGCCTGCAGTTGGGGGTCAGTGATCACCTCTGGAGTTTCTGACTCTCACCTGGTAATTGTATCCATGGATGGACAGTGGGATGAGTGTGTCCTGACTGTCTGTGACAGCAGTGATCAGTCAGGCTATCCCTGCTGGGTCTCCTCACACATTGCTCTTCTTGAGTGGGAGCCTAAGCTCCTCTCTTCCTGTTCTCCCTGGAACACTCAGTTCTCTCCCCAGCCTCTCTCTCTCTCTGCACAGCACCCTCACCCCCCGTCTCAACTATGCCTCTCCCTTCGCCCCCTGGAGAATAGCCTTGTAGTCCAGCACAGGCTTGGAAATGTGTGCTGCTTTGCTTCATGCCCACATTTCCTTCCATGTTGCCACAAATGTCAGGATCATGTTCTTTTCGTGGTTGAAAGTTATCCCAACATGCACTTAGATTGTGTTTCCTCTATCCATTCTCCCATTGGCCACCTGGGTGCTGCCCTCTTCTGGGCTGTTGTGACCACCCTCTGGTGATCTCAGAAGCTGACGACTCTGATTTACCAAAGGGAGAAAGACATGCACAAAAAAAAACCACTAGGGCCCATTGATCATCGGGGAAAAGGGAGCAATCACCTGGCCCTAGGGTGATGACTGTCTCCAAAATGCTAGACAGTGACCCATACTGGCAAAGTTGGAGAGCAAGGAGCTCTTGGTCACTGTCCGGATAAGCACAGCCTTATGGAAAGTGACCTGCAAGGCCTTCCAGGAACCAAAACCAGAAGAGCGCGTGTGCTCTGCCTCTGCTGTCCTGGGTGTGCACACAACTCAGAATTTACTGGAAGAGTGTGGCCTGCAGGGGCTGGGAGCCAGGCCAGGGAAGGCCTGAGGACACCCTGCCTCTGTGACTGCAGGGGCTGAGGGAAGAGATGAGGATAATGCTGTGGCCCCAGGAAAGGTGCCCAGTAGTCCCCAACATGGTCTCACACATTGCTTTTCTTCGTTGTGCTCTTCTCCTCCTCCTCCTCCTTCTTTCTTCTTCTTCTTCTTCTTCTTCTTCTTCTTCTTCTTCTTCTTCTTCTTCTTCTTCTTCTTC